TATTAGCCCATAAGTCAAGAACCAACTGTGAGCACGTCTAGACATACATATGTAAGTATTCCATTCAATTTCTGACAGCTTGCTGCCAACTGGCGTCTAAATATTTAGTTACATTGTAAACAACATGTCGGTGACAACACAACGCCAACTACAACAACAGCAATAACATCAGCACTCATGTTTTAGCTGCGCAAATATTTATTAAAAATATTTATTTACAATTGTGTGCATTCATTTTTTTCACTTCTCACGTCGCTTCAAGTCAACAACACCCCAAGTTGAAATGAAAACAAAATGCAAGCTGCTCCACAAATTTTGACCAGAAATGCCAGCAACAACAAATGGTTGGAGAGATATGTAGAAAGACAGATTCCAGCTACATAAAATAGTTATTCGCATAAAATTGCAAGACAGACGCAGCTTCGAAGGCGATGCGTCTGCGAAGCTACGACAATAAATTGAAAAATGTACGTATATTTCAAGTTCAACGCATCTGTGTCGCCATCATCTTCATCATCTTCATCATCTTTATCATCATCACCATCATCTTTATCGATATTGTCATTGTGGTTTTCAGAGTGCCATTTGTCCAGTGCTAGTGACGCCTTTAAGTACAGACGAGTGTATCTGCTAGCTGTCGGTGGTGTTTACAAATAGATGGCTTGTAAAAGGACTAATTGGCTTTAAAAGGCAGCAACACTTTAAGAATATTGATCAAATAAACAAAGTTGGGAAAATATCGCAAATATTCGTTAGAAATATAGAAATAAGCTTTGGATCTCATGTTAACACATTTATGTAATTGTAATAAAAACAGTAAAATTAATATAGAAAAGAATAAAACACATCTTACGCAACCCCCTGAAAAAATGAGCTCGTGTACCTAATATTGCCAGATACCACTCTTTTCACTTCTAAGTAAGTGAGTAGAGCCATAAAATATAATAAACTAAGAAAAAGTTTTCATGGAAATATAAGTTTTGCCTGAAAACTTATTGCAGTTCGTTAAACGAATGAAATCTTAAAAACTAAATCTGCACAGTATTTTGTTTTAAAAAAGTATATAACGATTTATAGAAATCATCATTATATTATTTAGGAATATGCATTGCCGTTACTTAAAAAAAACTCTACTATAGAAGTCGTTTCTATTTATAAGAAAATATTTCTACAGCTTTCATGTTAAATGGAAATACTCTAGGAATTCATTGTTTTGCTTCTTTCTTCTAAGTTTTACTATAAAATGTAAAATGACCCTTTTTTCACCTTATTTTCCAAAAGATTATTATTTGTGTGTGATGCCAAGATTTTTCATAGAAGAAGGATATTAAGATAGATATTGCTTATTCGCCTTTTAAAAACTGCTCATTATAGTCTATCATAAGTAGCTCCATAATATAAGCAATTATCTAAGCAATAAGTAATTTTTAGCTGCCTTTAAGTAAACATGGGGTAGTCATTATCTTTGGTACTGCAGGGTCATTACAGTTGCCGGTGGCACAGAGAACGAACAGATACTCGTACTACACAGCCGATAAAATGGGGAATGGAAAAGAGTTGAACTGTAGAACTGCAATATCGCATTGGCATCGGCATTGACGTTGGCCTAGGCCTGGGGGACAATAAAAATGAAATTGTATTTTGATAGCAATTATGCAGACGATGGCGCATAAACTACATAATATTTGTGAGAGGAGCAGAATCGAGTCGAGCGAATGCAAACCGTTCCGAAAACAAAGAAAACGAATAAATGCGTGTTGAAATAAATGAAAATAAAAATGCAAGTGCAAATAAAAATTTTGAGCAAACAAGTTCTCTGGCAGCAGCTGTTTGGGGCTGTTGCTTTGCCTGAGAGGGGGCTCCCCTCTCCTTTACGGAGGCTAATAGCTTGGAGCTGCCACTGGCTGGCCTTTTATTTGCTTTGCTTACTTTTTTGTTTTTGTTAAAACAAAAATTGCAAAGGCCCAGCAGCAAGTGCGGCGCTCAAACACGATTATATACTATATATGTATATATATATACGAAAAAACTTGTATACGTATGTATTATTAATTAAAATTGCAGGCTTTCCTGCATTCTGAATTTCAATTTCTCCGTTTGTTTGACTGTTAAGTTTTAATGAAACTTTTATGTCGGTGTAAACAAGATTTGTAAAATAATTGAAAGCCTCTAGAGTAAAGCGTGTGGGTGGTGTTGGATTCTTTTATTGTATTTAATAAAAACTTGCTCTAAAAAAATTCAGAATATGTTGTGTGACAGACTTCTTTGAAAAACAAATGTGTACCCAGACTTTACTTTGAACTGATGTACATTTCTATTTTGATTTCCATTTAGTCTTGCATTTACTTTGATAAAAATCTTCAGACGTTTTTATCACAGTCTACAAATTTCACATTCTACTTGATTGTCGTAAGTAAAGTAAATAGGGCTGGCTTTTTGACAGCACTTTTCCAAATAAAACAGGCCTCTGACAATATTTGAAATACAGCACTGGATGTTTGAGAGTGCAGACCTGTTATCAGAACTTAGTTCATTGCCCTGAAATGCTTAATTCATATTAAAATACATTTTAATTCCATTATGTTATCTTTTGAAGTATAAATAAGTTGCAAATGAAAGTTATAAGCTCTTCAAATTGAATGCAAATATACAATTATGTATTCATGTATTACTTTAAATTAAGTCTCTGTATAAGATTAAGATTGGAATCTCTCTTTAGTAGAATGAATAATAATTTCTTCATACCAAGAAACTTATTTTTAAAATTAAAAATTTTTTCGAAATATTCATATGCTTTTCTTTACTTTTGACGGAAATTGTTTTATTATTTTCTAACTAAGCCAGTATTAAAGATAGAGTCTTTCTAAAATCAGCTTGAAACTTCAATTTTAATTTGATTATAAGACATTTATATATTATATTTTGAATTTCTCATACAATTAGGAAGCAAATTAGAGTGACCATATTTTACTTTAACGCAAGCTGCCAACTCGTTCATAGGGCTCTGCTAACCTTTAAAAAGTTTTAAAATTCAGCATATGACATAAATTAATGGCTTTTTAATGATTCATATTCATCTTGTCAATTAATAGGCGCTATTTGCAAACTTTCAGTTAAATGTGACACATAAACATATTTATGAATCAATAAGTGTGCATAAAATCAGTTATTTAACTTTGCAATTGCAATAAAGGGCACACAAAAATATTTTTAATTGACCACAAGCGGTATGTTCTTAAAATATTAAAATATTTTCCTTATATATAATTTGCAATCATTCCACAACATGCTTGCACACAGCAAAAGCCTTTTGTCTTGGCCATTCAGTAAACTTAAATATGTTACTGATATATTCAATGCATTGAATTATCAATTAGACAAATATAGTTTTAAAAGCCAATTAGTTCGCTTTGTTTCATACTAGAACTTCCCTTTTTGGTTTATCAAATCATCTAAATCAAAATTCTTGAATTTAAAATGACAGCTAAGCTCTCTGCCCACTTAAAGGCTTTACACTCTCATTTATATTTGCATTTGATAAAATATTTGCTTAAAATAATATTGTTTCTTTTGATTCTTTTGTTTGCGCTAAAAACTCATTCAATCTATTTACGTTTTGTGTGTCGTAAACACTTTTAAAATACTATTATCATTACACCCATAGACCGGCTACATGGCAGACTTTAATGTTGAAAATAAATGACCCTGATATTTTGCCTTAAATCAACAATGTTGCATTTTCAGTAAACAATTTCAAGCACGTTTTTTGTGGCCGAATGCGATAAACATAAGTAAGAAAATTGGCCATACAAGTATGATGAAACAGAATGTTAAAAATAGACAAGTGGCGTCCGAAATATATGACAGGCTCTAATTTGAAAGATTTCATTATTAGATTTGAGGGGCATTGCAAGTTTGAATTATTTTTCGAAATGCAGAACGTTTACTAAGATTTTGTTTGTACTCAAGCCGTATTTCCTGCCTCGACTCTTAAGAATGTACGGAATATTTCATATATATCCCAGACAGAGTTATTATTAAAAATAATTATTTTTGAACAAAGCAAATATTTTCCCAGCTAATAAAAGCTGTTCTATTCCACATTGCTCATACTATGTTCGGCAAAATTCGTTTCATCTGCAACTACTGAATGCCTTTAGAAGAAGCAATGGTAAAAATACAAGTAGTTCCATTTTCCCAAAAAGAATTTGCGCAGATGGTCAATGAACGGTTGGATTTTATGAGTTTATGGGCCATAAACGATAATTGCAAGCGCACAGATTTTGAAGCAACTGGTGAGAAATTGAAACAATTTGGTATGAGTTCAAAAAAACTTGTTGATTATAGCCAGCATTTCGTCTTCATGTGCGAACAGCTGAGATCATTTCACAGTTATGCCCTTCATTAGTGGATTTTTTTTCGATCATAAGTGGGTTCGGCAAATTATTTAAAAAACATATGTTGAGTTGATGTGTATTTTGTCTAAAAATGATAAATTGTCATGCATACACAAAAATAACAAAATTGTACATAAGTGTCTGGGTGTATTTGTATTTCCACAATTTGTAACCAAACTCCGCACATATGTAGACAAATGCCGGATGTCGTTTAACATTAATTTGCGCCGCCCATTTGGCGCACGCAAGCTGGCAAGTGTTAATTGCATTAAGAGGCCGCCAGCATGGGTTAATGTCAATGCACAAAATTCAATTTCAATTATTTCTGTTCGTTAGTTTGTCTGTTTGTTTCGTGCGTCAGATAAAAAGACATTTATGTCAAGTACGCGTTCGACTCGTATTACTGGCATCCACAAAGTGAAACATTTTTCGAAATTTTTAAAATGTTTCTGCACTTTTTAATCGTATTACAAACAACATTGACTTGGAAACATTTTTATTTATAAATTGCCTTTCATTTAATTGCACTTTTCAATATCTGTATATATTTGGTATTTTTTTATTTGTAAATATTTTTTTATTTTATCTTATCTTCACTACTACTTTGTAAGGTTTGCAGAGAGAGCGCGCGTCGCAATTCATAAATTTAAATGCGTGGCTAGATAATTTATGATTATCATAAATGAATTCACTGCATTGTATTTATATTTATTTTCTCAGCACCGGACCAACAAAGTGCCGTCGCATTTTTCCATTTGAAAACAACTCGAAAATCGCGCCTTTTGTTTTACTTTTCACGTTCTGCGTTTACTTTACGTTTCCTATGACGCGGTAGCAGCACGCGCAGTTCTCTCAACGTTTCGCACACGGTCGCGTCGAAAACCGAACTGACATCGCCGGAGCACGATTTGTAGACGACCCAGACGCAGCGACGACAACGAGACGCTAACGCCAGCGCCGATGACAGCGACAGCGTTAGCAGCAGCGACAATAACAACTTTAATGCGGAAGCCGACAGCAGCGGCGTTAACGACGCTGTCGACGCCGGCAAGATCTGCGTGTTGAAAAGAGAGCAAAACGCACACACACGCATGCACCCACACAGTAGCCAGCAAACGCACACACACACATGCATGGCTTTGGAGCCACAATATGTAAGCAAATGCGTTTTTGTTTTTTTTTGTCGGCTCTCCCTCTTGTCTCTTAGAGATGTGTATTTGGGCTTTTTTTTTTTAAAGGAAACCCAAATTCTGTGAAAATCGGATGTGGGTTGAATGGAAGTTCGATGGATTTTTAAATAAAACTATTCTACTGCTAAATATATTTATATAAGCAGAATACAAGTAAAGCAACTATTTTAAATGAACATTTTTATATGTTAAGGAATAAACCAAAAAAATATTTAAATGAACATTAACTCAAAGCTGTTACAAATAGGTTCTTAAAATATAATCTTTTTAGTAAAAAGAAAATTTGAATAAATAATGGTTGCAAAAATTTTCTAGAATAAAATTATTTATTAAAATTGAGTCTAAAATTCAAAGGCCTTACTTATAATTTTTAATTAATTATAAATAGAAATTATTTCTTTTTTTAAAATTAAATTGAAAGGAAGACAAAAATTGACAAAAATAAAGCAAACAACCTCAAGTGAAATAGTTGACCACTATATTATTTCTTGTTAAGTTTCTTCATATATACGTACAATGTGAAATCAGTTTATTAGGACAGATGACGATCTCAAGGAGTATTAGAACGATAAAATAAGTAAATCGGTTCCAAGCCAATCACTTTTATAATATGTTGTTACTCTATTTCCAGAACTGGCATTTCGAAAATGACAAGAAAGCATTAAATTCCGACTTTTTTCTTAAGGGGTAATATAATATCTTTCAACACCTTCCTAACTCACCAGCAGATGTGTGAATCCAATTTGAATACCAAATTGTCTGTAGTTTAAGTATGTTTGTTCTTGCAAAGTTTTTTTTATTGTTGTAACACACTGCAGATTACTCAAAACATGCAAAACACACTCGCACACATACTCGTACACATTTAATGCAGGAACAGACTCACAAACTCGCGCATATGCGGGCGCACGTATGCAAATATCACGTATACGCACACATAACGTATACGTAATGACGCTATGGAGTATGTGTGTATGTGTTGTTGGGGTAGATGTGTGAGTGTTAGTGTGAGCGAGCATTTAGTCGACAGCGCTTCATTTCCCTCTCGCACGTTGTCATATCTAAGTTCCTTTTTCACACGAACTCATGACAGTCAATAAATCAGTTGGCTGTAAATGTTGTTGTTGTTTAAGGATATGCGCGCTGCTTTCCTCACTTCTTGACCCAAAAACGTGGGTTCGAAAAATATAAAAAATATAAATAGTTTCCGGATTATTAAATCAATCACACCTTTATAATAACATTAAAGGTAAAGCAACTGGTGTGTTTAATGAAAATGATTTGTTATTTAATCGTTGGACATTTATTTTCATTAAATAGTGTTTTGTTGCATATTTTTGATCGCTTTTTAAGCCCGACTTATTTTTTATTTAATTAAATTGAAGAATTTAACCATTTGATTTGTTTCATAGTAATTAAGTCTTATTTTATTTCGTTCAGCTTAAATATTGTCAAATTTAGTTAAGCTCCCCAAGTGAAGCCATTTCTCTAAAGTAGAGGTTTGTAAACCTTATAAATTGAAATTAAAATTAGTTTTCTGCTTTTTTGTAAAATGTTTTCTGAAAATTGGGCAATGAAAAGCGTTTCATTAGCACTGTGCGTCGTCAATTTGCTTTTATGCTCTTGACTTATGTTGGCTATCTATGAGCGTGAGTTTTTTTAATTGTTTGCCATCAATTTGAGCAGAGACTACCAAACAGAGTACAAACAAGTTTTGCTTGCCACTTTGTTGCATTTTTCGGCAAGCATCAAGGGAGCCAAGTGGTAGAGTTTTGACGTACAAAATACATATATCTTACCGAACTTGCATGCATATATCTGACTGCATATGGCAAGGTTCATCCGATTCAAAGGCAATATGAATGGCCTCGGACTGTCTAAATGGACTTGCACTTGGGTTTAAGGCAAGCGCCATAAATAAAGTTGCTTTCCTTCCAATTTCTCTTCAATTCGCATGTGTAAGCCTGTCATTCTCTCTTTCTGCCATCCAACTTGTATATTCTCAATTGTTTGTGTGGCGTGTTTTTGCAATTTCCTGTTGCATTGCCTAATCACTGTGGCACAAAGCACAAAGCAACCCACACACACACACACATACAACTGTGTGCCTATATGCCTAACTCTGGGCCATGATACGCTCAATCAATAGGTGAAGTGTTGAGCAGAAGTCGCTTCTGGGTATTTGAATGAAGTTTTGAAATGAATGACATATCGGATGCATGCAGAAAAGATGTTCAATGTTGCATACACGGCTTAGGAAGTATGATGAATGGCGGGCATTTGTTTGCACTTAACGTCAATAACTTTATGCCCTTCACAAAGTATTATTGACATTGAATATTAGACACGGATATAAAATATATTTATATGCTGCTTATGTCTGACGTTTTGTTAAAAAAGTAGAAAATTGAATACATTATTGAAGACTTGCAACTTGTAACTAGTAAAGATACATGCAATTTTTCTGAATATGAATAAATGGTAGCCTTTTAAATTTAACCAAATGAAAATAAATTGTTCTCAGAAACTGTACTATTATGTAGAATAAATATACTTTTTTTTTGTACAACTTGTGCTTGAATATTGCTCAGGCGTTTGCTGTCTGCAGCATAAAGCGTTTAAGGATTTAGTTAGAAAAGTTTAGAACTTAGCTCTTAATGGCTTTGTCAGCGTTGCGGATTAAGCAGCAACTTAGCAGCAATTACAAACACATTTAACGGCTAACGCTTGAACTTCGTAAATCCAGAACTTGTCCTCTACTACAACCATCTGCGAGGGTGGCGTCTTTCATCATGAGCTTTGGCTGGCACCCTTGGCCAGCTGCAGGGCTTGCTCCTCCAGCTTAAGTGTTAAGTAATGCGTATAAATTGTCAATGAGCGGCAAATGGGAGAAGTGCATGAAGAAGTCCTCGTAACTCGTCCTGCACTCGTAAGCCAAATGCCGCAAATGAAAACGTAAAGTGCCCGCACGACCAAATGGAAATACATGATGGTCGAGGATATGCGAAAACAAAAGCGACATGGCAATGAAAGGAGCGCCCAAGGAATGCCGTGAAATGCGAAACAGACCGACTGGAGACAGAGAGAAGGAAAGAAAAGAAAAATAAATAAATACCAGCGTTGGCGAGCCTTGTCGGCGACATGGGAAGGACCTCTTCAAGCCCCCAAGCCGGTGCAAGTAAGTTTATGCTGCACGTGGCTCGGCCAAAACAAAACTTTCAAGTGGAACTTGCCAAAGAATTAACCGAATTTCTTGTTTTTAAATAAAATCTTTAGCAATGAAGCAGCAACAAATATGCAGTTTAAAAGGCAATGCTTGAACTAAGCATTGTAGAGAAGGCGTTTTCAGGACTTGTGTATTATTTGGCAGGCATGGTGTAATTACCTTCGTTTAAAGGCACATTCTACAGCCATTATTCTGGATTAAGAAAGGTAGTATTTGTTCGCAAAGTGTCTACAAAAAGAGGCTTCCACTTTATCTTAAAAATGGACCACTATGAGTCAAGCAAACATTGTGAAAGGAGTTTAAAAAAAGAAAGCATGAAAGGAATGGAATTTCAACAATATATTTATAAAAGAAGTGCTTCCCACTTAATGGTAAAAACTGTCGACAACTAGTTGGCCTAAGCCTGAGTCAAGTAAACATTGAGAAAAGAGTGTAAAAAAAACGAAAGCGTGAAGGGAATTTCAACAATATATTTATAAAAGAGGTGCTTAAAAAAATGGCTCCCATTTAATCGTAAAAACTGTCGACAGCTAGTTGAGTCAAGCAAACATTGAGAAAGGAGTTAAAAAAACTAAAGCGTTTGAATGGAATTTCAACAATATATTTATAAAAGAAGTGCTTCAAAAAATGGCTCCCACTTAATTGTAAAAACAGTCGACAACTGTGCTAGTGGGCCTAAGCCTGAGTCAAGCAAACATTGAAAAAGAAGTGCGGAATAAACGGAAGCGTTTGCATAGAATTTCAACAATATTTTTATAAAAGTTCGATGCATTCATTTGGAGTGCTTTGAAAAGTACCCTTTTATGCATGAGCCATATGAGTGTACATTTGTGGTTGCCTAAGTCTCTGGGCACGTGTAGGTGGCTAGTATAGTTCGAGTTCCTGTACTATTCGAATGGGGTGTTTACGCAAGGACTTGTGTGCTTGGCGTGGCTGCCAATGACAGCTTTGTGGGTTTTTGTTTGCTCTATTTCAATTATCTTTGGCTTAACTTAAACAATCTAGGAATGACAGCAAACTAAGAGTTGCAGCACAATTCCTTCCTTTGTTGAAGTTATATACTTTGCTGCCATTCCTAGCTTTATACAACGCTTTAATTGCTCAAATATATGACTTTCTCGTACTCCCACTTGCCGAATTGTGCTACCTTTTTGTTGGAAGCGCTTAATCAAGCCCAGCAGCTGCCAAGTAGCCTCTCACCTGCCCCTGACATCTTCATTAAAAATGTTAAAGTTCCGCCCAGCAATGTTCTAAGCTGAGCTTAACTTTTCAAACGCGCCAACTTTCGTTTGATTCTGCACAAGTTTTGCAACTTTGA